CCAGCTCCGCCTGGTGGCTGGATCCTGCGCTGACGTAAGCAGAGTGATGACAATCGCTTCTGCCATGTTGTCCATTTTTCAACTGATGAAAATTAGTAGGTAAGAACTCTACTCGTTTCACACAGTCGTCGATCAATCTCTTCAGCTCCAGGGAGAATTCCTTAGCCTTACACGAGTACATTGCCAATTATACAACGGTGAACCTTTATTTTTAATTTGACTCTGTTCGGGACCTAACACCACTGCGACCAGTAATTTGATCTATTGTAGTATATTCCGTGTCCTTAGTTTAGTGCATGTCGTATTACCACCGACGAACCGACATGACACTGGAGCATTTCGTTTGTTCGCAATTCGATTTGCAAAATAAACGATTTCATCTGTCCAATGGGCAATCAGATCTGTCAAACGAGGTGAGACGCCAACCAAGTCAATATAAATTTAACGTGTGTTCGTATCCTTGCTCATGATATGTCGCGATCGGATGAGTAGGTGGCGGTAGTGTTTAACGTATTTCAAATATGGCGTCTTGGGCAAGATTTTGAAAGTTGCTTCTATGAGCTGTCACGTCGGTTCGTCGGTGGTCCCGAGTAAAGTCTGAGATCAAATTGAAATCTAAAATCGATGTTGTGATTTCGCTGATAATGATTGCTCAGGTTGCTGTCGTTTTGGTCGTTTTAACGGTTAAAATATCAAAATTGAGAGCAAAGCAATCTTCCTGTGACATCACATTGAAAACTATTGCTGCTATCAGTGAGAGCAAACTGAAAACTCAATTTGATATCATTTTTTCCTGTTGATAACCAAACAAGTATTCAATTTGATGTTATGCTAAGGCAATGAAAACAAATCCGTAACAACATATTTTTAAAGAGCAAATGTACAGCAAAATGAAAACAAAATTTAGTTTAAAATTTGTCAATGTGTAAACTGAAATCAAATTATGATTTCAGTTTGATGTTGATATCAAAACTTGATTTCAATTTGCTGTCATTTTGATGCTGGACTTTGCTCGGGGTATTACTCCATCACTATTGAGAAATGATGAAAATGATTTTTTTTACCGTTTGTCATTCTGGCATTTATCGCAACGATCCGACTCTAATTGAAATATATACCCTTCGGAGTGTTGAAACATCCTCCAAAGGCGCACCCCTTTATCAGTCAAAATTGGTTTCCTTAGCAACAAAGTTAAGGAATGACACCGATAATGACCATGCATCAGAACCCTAGTCTTAACCACTTCAAACCTAGGGAACAACGAATAGAAGATTAGGTGGACCTATATGGTCTACGGATGTATTTGGCTTATGACATTTGAATTTCTCTCCGTACTCTTAATGAGCAAACGTGTAACTTTCGAAGAATAACGTGTAACAAAAATCACTTTCAATCGAAATGACGTCTGAGACAAAGTTTTAGTTTTAGTTTTTTTTCCTAAAACATCTTTCCCCTTAAATACTGCACAGTAGGCTTGGCCGTTATGGCACACTCCCGATCATAAGTTTAAGGACACCCCCAAAAAAACATGACAAATTTGTTATGTTCATATCTCTGTCATGTTACGTCCACTTTTCGTTCTTTTTAGATCATTTGAAAGGTATTGAATGGAACTTTTCTCGTAGTCAAATTTTGTATGCTAAAAGTTCACCCAAAGTTACAATATTTTTCAAAATGTACTCTGAAGAATCGTGACTGATTTTCTCAGAATTGGATTGGCCAAATTTTGAAATAAAAGTAGTAGTAGAATACTTAGGGATCGTCCATTAATTATGTAAGGGGGAAGGGGGTTTTGGAAAATGTGACGAACCTTACAAAAAACAATTAAGGTCCATGTAAAAAATGTGACAAAGGGAAGGGAGGGGTGGTTGAAAATGGGCCAAATTTGCGTGACATAATAAATGGACCTTCCCTTATGCTATACCATTCATACCATTCAAATAACCTTTGGAGATCGAAAATTGAACAAAACATATTTGCACGGTTTTTTGGGGGTGTCCTTAAACTTATGATCGGTATGTGTGCCGCATCTTTGATGTGAAACATATATCATGGAGGTATATCAATAATTTTCCAGAATGCTTTCAAGAACTGGCTGTGTTGGTGTTAGATTAGATTAGTATACTGCCGTTATAAGCATAAGAGTCCCACGGTACATCAGGATTACATAGAACATGGGACAGTTATGCGTAGAACGGCAGTATAGATTAGATAAAAATTTCAAGAGTGCTTTACAAAATTGTGGAGACATTTCAAGCGTACACCCGAGAAGAACGCAAGATGTTTAGAGCACTCTGAAACGATCTCGGGGTAAATTCTACACGGGAAAAAGTTGTCTTATCTAATCCAAATGCCCTTGCACTTGACGTAGTCTGTCATGCGGCACTGCGAATCGAAGTGATTTATCATTGATTTTCAAGTGATTTGCGTTTAGAGACAAAGTGATTTGTCGTTGAAAAATATGTACAGTATAACACCTTTAAATCAAAGGATTATCATTTGAATTGGCACCACTGTTTTCATCCATTGAATTTGATTAGTTTTGCTTTTGGAAGCAAATGTCAAAAACGCAAATGCCAAATATTACTCGCGAAGATGGCAAGTCAACAACAAATGAAGTCAAATGAGAGAAGCGATAATTCTACATTTCAACCCGAAATAATTTGAATTCTAGAGCGTGAGCATTATGAAATTGATGCTGTATTCAATAATAGTGTCAACATTGTCAAACTTATCAAATTTATTGCTCAATGTCTCGTCTTGCTTCTACTACACGCCTTGCAATGTTGTTCAATGTCACTTGGAAACATGTGATCCGGGTAGTAATATGACACATGTTCTATGGCCATATTCTAAATAACATATAACAAGGCTTGCAGTATGAACAAGGCAATATATTTATTGAAACCCATTTTCAGCAAACATGAAATCCAAGGATAAATTAGTTAAACTTAAAGCGACAGATTGTTAATATCAGTATGGTTGACATTTCGAGTTCAAAGTACAGCACGTCAACAACGATGTGCAATACAGTCTCAAATTAAGTGATTTGCTGTTGATTTCATCGTGCTTCGATATGATTTCTTCCAAAGGATTTTCACTTCGAATTGCAATGTTTGGCAAGTAAAGCAAATTCGATAGCAAATCACTTTACATGAACATGATGTTTTTTTACCGTGTAGGCAAATCTGCCTTCTGGGATTCTATCAACCATGTCCTTAAATGATATTTGCGAACATATGCTGAGATTTACTCCAAGTCAAAAGAGAACTCTGAAGAAAATTGTGTTGAGTAATTTAAGGAGACTTTAAAGAGAACTATATAAATAAATTGGAGAAAGCAAGAATTTTGAACGTGAAGAGAATTGTAAATGGAATGTCAAGAGTTCTCTGGAGAGAATCATAAAAGTATTCTGCAGAGAAATGCTCTATAGAATAGAGTCTGGTTGGTCTTGGTGCCTGGTTTTCCATCAAGATAGGGAGATTTGACTGTAGCTGGAGAATTCAAACGCTTTGCAAAAGTGCTCGTAGTAGTTACGAACAGCACGCCAACAAAGTGAAGTGTTCAATCGTCGGAGGCAACAATTGAACTTTTTCCGAAATACTGCACTACATTCGACTTCATTCCTTTATTTAACGTCGGTCTCTGTTCCGCAATGTAGTGCCAATCACCGACGGACATCCATTGACGGCAATCGAATGTGCAGGAAGGCAGCTTCCACACCTGTGTAGGATATCGCACCAGAGATTTGTATGCCTCAGAAAAATCCCACCGACCTCGACTGGGATTGAACCCAGACCCATTGGGGTGAGAAAGCAGTCACGCTTACTACTACACCACTGGCGCCGGCTAGAATTCGACTTTAAATTGCAGAAAGTTGCAATGAGTAAAATTTGCCTCGATTTTCCTCAAGAATCGGCTCGAATATTAGAAAAATCGATTAAAATTTGACTAAGTTTACGGGTATAGCCATAGACTAAGTAAAATATTATTAGATTTTCCTGATATTTGAGCTTATTTTAAAGGCAAACTGAGGAAAATATAATTCATCCACTTTATGCCCATCCCCACTTTTTGAAATTATGAGTCGAATTCGATTCAACTTTGACTTAGTCTCATCGACCGGGAGGGCCATGTCATCCATCGAAGTTTGCTGAAAAGTTGATTCATTAGTGGTACACGTACCTTCTTAAAAAGAAAGTCCTCTCTCCTCATTCTCAAAAGATTGCAAAAATTAAATCTAGATAGAGCTAGAATTGGGGCCTAACAGCTTTTGTAAACAATGTCTTCTCTTGATGATTTCTAGACAATCAAGGCTCGCCCACGCAAACCAACATCCTCATCGGGTAGGGAAAGACTTCTCCTATCCAATGGTTAGGTTGGTCTGCGTGGACGTGCCTTGAATTCCTAGAAATCATAGATAGAAGTCATTGTTTACAACAGCTGTTACGCCCAAATTTCAGCTCTATCTAGAAATAGTCCGAATTTTGATTTGTTTTTCAAGAATACCGAACATAGTTTATTTTTAAAGTATCTTGGATTCTTGGTATTGAAATAAAGATTAAAGTTCTGATACTTGAAGATGGAAACCAATACTAGCACCTGATTGAATCAGTTGATAAACCTCGTAGAAATTTCCCGTTGCATCGTCTCAACAACAGTACGTCTCCGTCCTTAGAGTCCTTAGTCTATCCCACTAGTAAATTCCTTATCAAACCACTCCCGATTAGAATCACCCTGGTACTCCCCTCTTCCCACCTGCCACCAGTCGCATCCCATGGGGGAAATACGTTTTATGGACAAAACACATTAACTTCCCATCTGCGTCAATCGCCACTCCGCTGCCCCCGAAAAAAAATAAAATCGAATCGAACCCCTTTCATCGAAAAGCAAATCAGCACTAATGGACATCGATTTCCCCGTCTCCCACTCTCTATCTATCTCTCTCCTCGCACTTTACTAACTGATATAGCAATATTTTCGTGTGTATCGGTACTCACTCTTTCCGTAGCCAATCTGCGGCAGTAGGTCAGTCCGGGGCGTGGTACAGTTGACGCCGTTCCGCTTCTTCGTTGCATTGGTTATGATGGGCTTTTCCATGTTGGCAAAGGTGAACGCGCACACGAGCGCCTCCTTCAAATTGGGCAAGTTCTCGATCATCAGCTCCAGCGTCCGGGCCGTGGTCCGCTGCAGCTGGCTCGGACTGACGCTGGTGATGGTTGTGCACTTGCCGGATTTGTAGCTAAGCCACGACAGGGGATCCTTAAAATTATCTTGACACTCACTCTTCGGACTACACTTATTCTCTAGGGAACACCATCCGCAGAAGGGATCTTTCGCTGATAGACATGCAACACACGTGGTATACACCGAACAGTCATAAACCTTAATCTTAAATAGCTTATGCTTTGACATCAAGTACAGATCATATTTTACAGTGTCCAGATACATATCCGGTTGGATCATGGAGCCGACGTCCACGTTCATCAGGGCGTACTGTTGGGCCGAGCCGGACGATTCGACGACAACCTTCTTGAGCTGGCCGTTGCGCGTCCCGATGAAGACGACGGTGAAATTGGAGGTCGTAGTCACGGCTATCGAAGTCATCTTCAACTCCGACAGCAGGACTGGAATGGAGGCGATCGCTTGTTCTCCCCCGAGCGGAGAGTTGACGTCGAGACCACAGAAATCTTCGCTTATGGTTTGCAGCTTGGTCGGAACGCAAGGCATGTTGATCGAGATGTAGTCCAACCCCCGTTGGCCGATCCCGTTGAAGCAGGACTTGATGTTCTGCATGAACTTCCGACGGATGGCCTTCAACGAGTAGACGCACAGGGCGGACTTGTTGGTATTTTTCGAGTCGTTGCTATCGGAGAATACGGCAAAGAGAACATCGTCGTCGGTTGTGATTCCGAGGTTCTCCGCCAGATCCGGGCCAGGTTTCCCCACGTACGCCGCGTTAATGATGTTGAACTTGGTACTTTCGCTGATGCAATCGACGGGGATCTCCGTGTACGAGTAGTAGTTCGAGTCGTCCTGGCAGATCCTCACCAGCTTGGTGATGGTTTCTTTTGGTGTGTTGTGGCCGGCGCTTTTGTGTTGCGTCGTCAAGAAGTAGGAGAACCGTTCCGAACTGAACCCGTACACGTAGTTGATCAGGAAGGACTCCCTGGCGTACGAATTGACAAATATCCGCGTCCCGGTTGTCACGGCGGACGATGCAATTTGGAAGAGCTTATCCTGCGCTAGACTCCGGGAAGCCACAGCAGGGATTTCACTCCGGTACGGAGAATTCCCCGTGAAGGTAACGCCCACGTAGAGGACATTGGTCTCCGAGGGGATCGGCGGTCCCGGAGCGATGAATGCCACCGTACTGGCGTTGGCGACATTGGCTACGACCGCTTCCTGCACCTCGTGCTCGACGATGCTCACGTTCTGCAGCGACCTGATGTGGCAGATGCCCTGAAAGAGCGATCCGCACACGATCAGGTTGCTGGCCGAGTGGTCAATCAGGAGCACCTTGTTCCAATTGTCCGTCGGCCGGCGGACGATATCGGTGGGACACTCGAGGATCGAGCACTCGTTCGAGTCATTGTGCGGGCCCGTCGTTACGGCCGCGATGATGTTCAGATCGCTGGAAATCTGATACAGCTTGTTGACGGCGCCGACATAGACCTGAAAGTGGAAGCGAAAAGAAAAGCAGGGGGTTAGTCGATTTGCAGGAGAAAATTGTAACTTGTTGCAGGACGGTATTTCAGTCACTATCAAGAATTCCTTGCACTAGTATGGGAAAATAAAAACCGGAAAAGAATCACGCAAATTGGATTACCCTCTGGCACCAACGTCATCACAAAGGAAGCCTCGCCGGTTTACCCAACCATTAAACGTCGCTGCCTTCGGTGAAGGACTCCCTTCAATCCGTCCGAGACAAGTGGTTTCCACTCGTCCCACTCCCTCGCTTTTCACACCAGTCGGTCCAGTCAGTCGGTAATGTTTGCCCTCTCATTCATTAAATCCGTTGAATGCATTCCACTGCTACTGGTCCTACTGATCCCACTGGAAAATGTAACTTTTCACTTTTCATCCCGTGTTGTGAGGCAAATCAGCGCGTCAATTCAAACATTTGCTCAACCCTTCGCGTAGCCTGCGGCCAGCGAGCCGAAAAATCCCACCACCCTGCGACGACGACGACGACGACGACGACGGCATTATTAAATGTCTGTTTTTGATCTCAAATCCACCCCTACCCACGCTCCCAAGTTCCGAGAACACCGAGTTACCGGAGACGAATCGCTTCAAGGACCAAAAGCCAACCACTCAATTTGCCAGGCGCTTTTTGTTCCGCATCACATCGCTCGCATCATCTTCAACAGCTCATCGCAGTAGGCCGCCCGGTAGGAAGAAGACGAACCCGAAGGCAAGGGTTGCTGAGGTGTGCGCAGGCAGAGAGCATAAGAAGTAGCATGAAATTAATTTCGATTGATACTTTGTTAAAGTCTGCTCTGCCCCGTCGTCCTCGCTTCGCACAAAAGGCAGTAACCCCTTAAATTCTGCAAATTTATGAGTACCGACCGACCGACCGACCGATCCCCGACCCCTTCCCACCTCTCTCGGCACCTGTTTCCACACACAAACAGCGTTTCCTTCCGAGTACGCTACGGGAAGGAAAAACTTCCCTCATAAAGTCCCTTCCCCCACTTTGACGGTTCGGCGGGATGCTGCTGCTGCTGCTGCTATTCCTGCTCATGTATCGCACGCCCTCGCTGCCTGCGAGGTTTGAATAACTATACCAACATACATATTGCACTTTTAGTCTCTAATTCCGTTCCGTGATAAATCTCTCGAAAAAGGGCTCTTTTCGATTCATCAATATTAGAGCAGTTCCACGCCAAATGACAAATCGAAAAACTCGACCTCAGTATCCAAGCTCCCACCATCTTTCTGAGATTCCTCTTAACATTTCTCCAAACTTCTCTGACGCTCAATAAATCTCTTAAAAGGGTCCTCTGGACTTCAAAGGCGTCCTACTGGGCTTCTCTGAGATATAAAGAAACTTCTATGAAGTTCCTTGTAGCTTAACGACGTCCCTCTGGACTTCTCTGAAGTTCCTCAAACTTCTGTGATGGTCAATATATTTATCTAAATGTTTCCGTTGGCTTCACTGGGGCCTTTTTAGACTTCTGTGAAGGTCTCCTGAACTTTTCTGAAGGTTTCTCTTGGCTTCTTCGGATATCTCTGAAGCTCTCTCCAGCTGTCTTAGGTTCCTCCGGATAACTACGAAATTCGTAAATCTTTCCTGACGCTCACTAAATGTCTTTGAAGGATCCTGTGAACTTCAAAAAACTTCTGCTGGAATTATTTGTAGTTTTCTGAGACTTCTATGAAGTTCTCCTAAATTTTCTTTGTGGTTCCTTGAAGCTTAATTACATTCATCTGAACTTCTCTGTAAATCTCCGAAGTTCTGTGCATCTTTCTGAGGTCTCCACAGTTTGACAAGCTTTTTTGAAGTTCAATAAATGTCTCTTAAAATTCACATGGACTTCAGAGATGTTCTCTGAAGTTTCCACAGACTTCTATAATTTTGTCTCGCATTTATCTTTTTGTAGTTACTCTTGACTCTTTGAGGAAATATGTTAAGCACCTCTGAAGCTCCCAGCATCTGCTGAGGTTCCTCCGGATTATTATGAAATTCATCACACATCCCTAAAGCTCACTAAATTTCTCTAAGGGGCCCTTTAAACTTCAGTTCTGCTGGGTTTTTCTGCGGGTTTCTGAGACTCTTATGCAATTCTCTTGTACTTTTCTGAAGTTCTTTGGAACTTTCTGAATTGCTCAGAAGCTCTCTTAAGTTCAATAATTTTGTCAAAGAGTTCGCATGAACTTCAAAGAAGTTCTCTTATGCTTTTCTCAGAGTTCTATCCTATCTAATGTCCATCTAATCTAACCTGCATCCTTCTGAGGGGCCTCCGATCAACTCTTAAGTTCGTCAAACCTCACTGAAGTTTACTAATCTCTAAAGAATACTGGACTATCAGAGAAGTTCCATTGAGCTTCTCTAAGGCTTCCTCAGATTTCTATGCAGTTCTCCTAAATGTTTATGAAATTCCTTAAGGCTTTTTGAGGTTCCTCTGGACTTCTCTGAAAATCTTCTATGCTTCTTTGAAGCTCCCTACATCTTTCTAATCTTCCTCAAGACTACTCTAACATTCGTCAAACTTTTCTAAAATTTGCCAAACTTTTCTAAGGCTTACTAAATTTCTCTAAAGGAACCTGTGGACTTCATAGAAGCTCATTTGGGCTTCTCTTTATGTTTTCTCAGACTCTTACGAAGTTCTCCCGAATATTTCTGACGAAGTTCCTTGTGCATTTCTGAGGCAGAGGTGGTAACGAGACTTTTTTTTTCAAACAAATGTCACTATTAAAACGTATGGGGGAAAAATGTCGTGACCTTTTCTCCCCATATAATTACTATGATATTTACCTATGAGGTTCCCTTAAACTTTTATGAAAATCTCCGAAGCTTCTCTGAAGTTTCCTTATCTTTCTTTGGATTACTTTGAATTCCGTTCTGAGGTCATCCCGTCTACTCCTAAGTTCCCCAAACATCTCTCATTCATAGCTGTACCCTAGAATTCGCTTAATCTTCAAATTAGTTCTCTCGAGTTTCTCTGAAGTTAACTCAGAGTTTATGAAGATCTCTTGAATTTCCCTGCAGTTCCCTGCATCTTTCTGAGGTGCCTCCGAGCAACTCATCAAATTTCACTGAACCATACTAAATTCCTCTGAAGGATATTGGGCCATCATAAAAGTTCTATTGGGCTTCTGTGAGGATTCCTCAGATTTCTATGACGTTCTCCTAAATGTTTATGAAGTTCCTCGAGGCTATCTGAGGTTCCTCTGAACTTCTCTGAAACTGCCTACAGCTTTCTAATAATCTTCAAGACAACTCTGAAAATCATCAATTTTTTCTGAACCTTACTAAACTTCTCTAAAGGAAACTGTGAACTCCAGAGAAGCTCGCTTGGGCTGCACTGAGGTTTCCTCAGACTTCTACGGAGTTCTCTTGAATATTTCTGAAGCGTCTTGAGCCTTCCTGAGGTTCCCTTCTACTTTTATTAAAATCTCCTAAGCTTCTCTGAAGTTTCCTGCATATTTCTGAGATTCCTCTGGATTACTTTGAATTTCTTTTTGAGGTTCTCCCGACTACCCTTAAGTTCGCCAAACTTCTCTTAAGTTGCATAAATTTCCCCTATAGTTTACATGATCTTCAAAAAGTTCTCTTAATTTTCTCTGAGGTTCCCGCAGAGTTCTATGAAAATCTCTTGAACTTCCCTGCATCTTTTTGAGCTGCCTCCAAACAACTCCTAAGTTCGTCAAACTTCACTGAAGCTTCCTAAATGTAACTAAAGGATACTGCGGCCATCTGAGAAGTTCTATTGGGCTTCTCTAAGGCTTCCTAAGGCTTCTCTAAGGCTTCTCTAAGGCTTCTCTAAGGCTTCCTCAGATTTCTATTGGGCTTCTCTAAGGCTTCCTAAAGCTTTTCTAAGGCTTCTCTAAGGCTTCCTCAGATTTCAATGAAGATGTCCTAAATGTTTATGACGTTCTTTAAGGCTCTCTGAGGATCCTCTGGAGTTCTCCGAAATCTTTTATCTTCTGAAGCTCTCTGCATATTTCTAATGAAGCTTACTAAATTTATTTAAAGGATAGTTAAGACTTCCTTGATGCTTTCTGAGGGTCATTTAGACTTTTATGAAAATCTCCTAAGCTTCTTTGAGCCGCCCTGCATATTTCTGAGCTTCATCTGAATTACATCGAATCTCTTTCTGAGGTCCTCCCGACTACTCTTAAGTTCGCCAAACTTCTCTTAGGTTTAATAAATGTCTCGTAGAGTTAGCATAATCATCCAAGAAGTTCTGCTAAGTTTCTCTGAGGTTTTCTCAGAGTTCGATGAAGATCTCTTGAACTTCCCTGCAGTTCCCTGCAGTTCCCTGCATCTTTCTGAGGTGACTCCGAACAACTCTTAAGTTCATCAAGCTTCACCGAAGCTTACAAATTTCTCTAAAGGATACTGGACCATCAGAAAAGTTCGATTGGACTTCTCTAAGCCTTCCTCAGATTTCTATGACATTCTGTTTATGAAGTTCTTTAAGGCTATCTGAGGTTCCTCCGAAAATCTTCTATGCTTCTCTGAAGCTCACTACATCTTTCTAATGATCTTTAAGACTACTCTGAAATCCGTCAAATTACTCTGAAGCTTACTAAATGTCTCTAAAGGGTACTGTGTACTTCAGACTACTGTGAAATTTATCAAACTTCTTTGAAATTCGCCAATCTTTTCTGAAATTCGTCAAACTTCTCTGAAGCTTTCTAAATTGATTTAAAGGATACTGTGGACTTCAGAGAAACTCGCTAGGGCTTCATTGAGATTTGCTCAGACTTTTATGAAGTTCTCCTAAACATTTATGAAGTTACTTGAGGCTTTCTGAGGGTCCTTTAGACTTTTATGAAAATCTCCTAAGCTTCTCTGAGCCTGTCTACATATTTCTGAGATTCCTCTTGATTGCTTCGAATTTCTTTCTGAGGTCCTCCCGACTGAAGTTCGCATGATCTTCAAAGAAGTTCTCCTGAGTTGCTCTGAGGTTTCCTCAGAGTTCTATGAAGATCTCTTGAACTCC